ATGTGAAATATTAAGCAGGCAGGAGGAATATATGCACACATATATTCACAGAGCTCTAAATCTACAACAGTGGACGATAAAGCAAGTTACAGGACATGTCTAGCATCACAGACACATGTGTATTTTTAGAGTATGAAACAGTACTAGATCTTAGCCCTTGGCACATCTGTTCCTGCAGTTTGTGATCACAGAAACAGCCCGTGGGAGAGGGGATGGAAGTATGAGGATTGAGGAGGTGACAAAGGAAACTTCAGCATCATCTTTGCTGTCCAATTTCTTTCTTTCTTTTTTTTTTTAAAGTAAATATGGTAAAATGTTAACATGTTTTTATTCTGGGTGACAGCTCGCTGGGTGTTGGTTGTATCATTCTGTAGTATTTTCTCTTTGCTTAAGGTCCAAAGTGAAAGGGTAAAAAATGTTGAGATAATAGTATGCTTCATTGTTTAGTCTTGGGTTTATTTATTGTTTAGGCATTTTATGTTCTTGTTTGTTTTAAGAAAAAAAATGTATATAAATGTAAGTGTGGTGGAGATAGCTGTTTACTCTTCTATGTGCCCACCAAGCATGCTTATTTTGTGAGCAGTCTTTGGTATGGAAACGTGGCCTTCACACAGCTTGAGGGGCTGAGACGCCAGGCTCACAGTGTGACCAGCGCGTGCAGGGAGAACCACTTCCCACAGCAGCCACCCCTCATGCTTCCCACCCCTTGATGTGTCCATTTGTGTCGGAGCCAAAAGACCCACAAACAGAGAGGCAAGGAGTCAAGAAAGATTTTCCTCTCCAGTGCTGAAGATTTATTGGTGTGTGCTGACTACCGCAGCTCTACAGCCGCGGCCACTTGTGGCTCAGCCTCTGTGTGTATCTACAGGATTGCTTCCAGCCAGGGCAGGGCCCTGCCTCTCCACTGCCGCAGTACTCCCCGCTAAGAGGAGTGCCAGAGTCGTGCTTGCAGAGAGCGTGCTTGCAAAGCCTTGGGTTTTCTTTTTCTCTCTCTCTCTGAGAGGGGCTTCCTTGTGTCCTCCAGGCTGACCTGGGACTCTGGACCTTAAACGCAGCCTTCCTGCCATGTCCTCCCAGGCAGGCAGGGCTGCAGGCACACGTGCTTTTCAGTCTGCACCCAGCGTAGCAGACACCCCATGCCCTGTTAGTTACGAGGCCAGCAGCCTTTTGAAATGCTCCTGAGAGGATTGCTGCGACTATTTGAAAAGTTAACAGAGAAAGGCGAACTTAAAACAGGCTGAAGATTATATAGTGAGACCCAGAGTTGAGGCTTTTACATCTGACACAAAGGGAGGGGGCTGGGGAGCCTCCGCCCTTCCCTCCTGGGGGCACCGAGGGCAGCAGCTAGAGCCCCACTCGCTCCATTCCTCTCTGCTGTGCAGAATAAGCAGCTCCAAAGGAGATGCTCAAAGTGCTCACCTGGCCCCGCCTTCCTGTTTAGTTTCTGAGCCACGTATCTGCTGGCTGGGCAGACGCCATCCGGCTTGCCATGTGCCATTAGGTTGTCTGGCAAGATCACTGATGGTGGCTGAATTTTTCTAAATTTAAGGTCAGTTATTAGTGCAGCCTCTGCCACAAATTTGAAGTCAAGTCCCCCCTGTTGGCTTTATTAGTAACAAATCAACGTATTTTAGCTCCATCTGCTTGGCCTCTTCTTTATTGATTCCAAACTCAGAAGTAGGTGGGTATTAGCAATAAGTTCCCTTAAAATCATTTTGAGGTCTTCCTGTAAGACCTCAAACTGATAAATTAGTGTAATCCATAAAAATACCAGTCATTTGTATGCCAAATTTATTTTTTCTTTCCTTTTTAAAAAAGTTTTTAATTTTATTTATTTGATATAGGGCCTCTCTATACAGTCCAGACTCATTCGTAGTGTCTCAGCTTCCCCAGAGCTGGGATTACAGGCATGTGCCTCCATGCCTGGTTTTGGGGCTGGCAGGGCAGCTTCAGGCTGGCACAGCATGAGGTACCAGGGATTGAACCTCAGTCCTTTTGCTTGCCAGGCAGGCACTTAGACCACTGAGCTATCTCCCCAGACCCTCTTTTCCTTTTTTTTTTTTTTCCATTTCCATTTTTTTTCCTAATTTTTAGTTATTTATTTTTGTCCTGTCAGAGGTGAATATTCTATTGGCATCTAAATACTATAAGTGTTTGAATTCAACTAAACATCTAACACTGTCTAGCAGTCTATAATATTAGTGGGTTATCCTCAGAAGTTATTGACTTGAGCCTTTTACAGCTCATTACTCTTTTCCTTTTTAAAGTAAATGACAGCTTTTATAAACCTAAGCTTAACATTACACATTCAAACAATTGTCAAAACTTTACTAAATTGCCAACATCCATGTACAACTATAAAGCATCCTTAAATGTGTGTTGAACCAGAAACATATTACCATTAATGCATTAATATCTTTCATTACTAAATATTAAAAAATGGAAATTATTTCTGTGAAGGACTCTACTTGACTCACATTTCAAACACAATGGAAAGCAGATCCACACTAGTGTTAGAGTATAATTTTGCCCTAGCAGAAAAATCAAGGCTTACCTTGGATCACATTTAATAAAAAGCAAAGTATATGCAGAGTTTACAATATTTTTTATTTTAATGTACTTGGTACAGGGTCTCACTACACATTTTGGACTCTTAGTGATCCTCTTGTTTTCAGCCTCCCCAGCACTGAAAATTACAGCCATATGCCAGCAGACCCAGTCTCGGTGGCTGGCTCAGCGTGCCCGGGCAGGGGTGGTGGTGGCAGTTTTGCATATGGATTAAACTCCGGTCCCTGTGCTTGCCTAAGCAGACACTAAGTCTGCTGAATTACCTCGCCAGCCAATTACAATTTTATTGTTTTATTTATTTATTCATTTTTAATGTATTTAGTTGTTGCAGGTCTTACTATACAGCTCAGACTTGTGATTCTCCTGCTTTCAGCCTTCCCAGTGCTGGAATTACAGATATACACCACTAGCTCCAGACTCTAGCCAGCTCAGTCTGCCCTAGGGAGTGGTATGTGGTACAGGAATTGAACTGCAGTCTTTTCCCTTGCCTAAGCTTGCCTAAGCAGGTGCTTTAGTCCACTGAGCTATCTCAACAGCTCCCTGATTACAATAATTTTAAAGACAAAAAATAGTCCTACTGTATGGTCCCAACAGTAAATTCAAAAGTCTATGAAAAAGAGGAGCTCTGATAATATAAATTTATTCATATAAACACTTTAGATTAGGTACAGTTATACTGAAAGTTGAGTTCATCTGAAATCTTCAAAAGAAAAATGTTCCTGTTAATCCTCACGTGGTGCTTGGTATAGTTTAACATTTCTGTTAAACATGCACATTGAATTGCTTATCATCCAAGCATAGCAGCTGCTCCTTACCATTTATCGTTAAGGACTTTAACTATCCGTCTTGTTCAACTTCTACTCTTTCTTGACCAATCTCAATTTTCTTTATGGTGATTTTCCTACCATTAATGATTTTGGTAGAAGTTGATATAGATTTGAAGTTGCCCATCCCACTGCTGCCAAATGACATGGACAAAAATGAAGTGAGGCTCCCATGACCTAAGGACCCGAATGAAGTAAATCCTGTATCAAATAAAGAAAACCTACCTCCAGAGGATTGAAAGCCATGGAAGGGGAGGAAGAAGAGCCTGCACCATGGCTTCTGTTTCCTTGGGGGCCCTTCAGTTCCCTAAAATGTCTTCAAATGGGACATTGAAGAAGTCAAGTGAAAATGAGTCCCTTCCACCTAACAGTTCCCTGAAATTCATTTCTAGAGATTCCATCTGGCTTCTGGAATGTGAACCCAAACTCAAATGGACTGGCAAAGTGACATCCACCTCCTCCATTACCACTTAATCCTTCCATAATCCACTTTTGTCATAGATGTCCTGGGGTTTTAGCATCTGGTAACACATATGCCTCAGCCACTTGTTTGAAGTTTTGCTCAGCTTCTTTCTTATTCTCAGAATTTTTATCTGGGTGCCATTATAGTGCCACTGTTTGGTATGCCTTAGTGATGTCCCCAGGGGAGGCAAATCTCTGTAGGCCTAGTACTTCATGGTAGTCCACCATGTTTTAACAGTTTTCTGGAACAAGTCCAAGGATGCGGAAGACCAGTGGCAAAAAAGGAGGGAGGTGTGCAGCCAGTCCCCTTGTGGCTCTGGGATGGTACACTGGTGATGGCAGTGGTGGTTCCTCATGCTTTTCTCTGAAAAAT